CATCAGCAAAAGCAGACTGTTTAAATCTGAGTTCCCTAGTTTGAATTACCTGGTAACTATCCGATAAGTCATTAATGAAGACATTGAATAGAAGGGGACTCAAATTACACCCTTGTTTTACTCCACTACTAGATAAAAAGGAATCAGTGCGGCCTTGATTTGTTTTAATTGCATATCTGGTGTCTAAATACATAGTCTTAATCAAATGGAAACACTTTCCTGTTACACCAGCTTTGAGTAACTTATATAACAGATATAACAGATATATAACTTATATAATAGTATGTACATATATATATATATACCAAGATGACACATATTAGTATTTACATATATATATACCTAGATGACACATATTAATATTTACATATATATACACCAAGATGACACATATTAGTATGTACATATATACACCAAGATGACACATATTAGTATGTATATATATATACCAAGATGACACATATTAGTATGTATATTAGGTGAGTTTTGAGATTGACATGGTTAGTATTTCAATGGTAAATATTAGAATGCATGTGTTGCCATAATAAGGTTGATTTGTTTTCTTGTTTTCAGGACTTGGGTAATTTGAATATTTCATTCTTCACATCAAGAAAGAAGTATGATAGGAGAGCCAACTTGACATTGATAATGACAGCACTGCAAAATAGTTGGCCGCATATTGATATAAATCTGTCACATCGAGATGATTTAATGCTGAACAAAGACTATAAAGTATCAATTCTAATGTCTGTCTTATATTCTATTGTGTTACAAATTATTTATGTTACCATGTTAAAGGTACATACCAAAGAATATTGACTCTACAGACCAAGTTTGTGGTTAAGTTCTAATTACTCCCACCCCCCCCCCCACCCCCCACCAAATGAACATTCTTGTGCTGGCATATGTGTCAGTTATACTCAATCCAAATGCATAGGTAATGGTATAAAGCTACACCAAATAAACAAAGAAAATAGTTTTTGGCAACACACATGTGTTGTTTCACCATTGACTGAATTGACATGAATTTTGTATACATGCCTTATGGTGAGATATTGGTACAAATACTTCCTACTAATTAAGCCATTTTAGCATTATGTTTCTTGTTTATCTTTGCATGCATAAATGCATTGTAACTTGGTAATTGCTGTAAATGTGTAATGATACACTCACATGTATTGAATCTTTCTTGTTTCTATCTAACCATGTCTCTATAAGATTAACAAATATTTTGTCAGTGTCATTTATTTTGTAATAACATCAAACTTTATATTCCTCAACAACTATGTGTCAGATATCTGGTTCAGCCGCTAAACTTGGTAGAACCACAGCTTACCATCATTGTACATTGTTATTTGATGTCAACACATCTCTACTCAATGATATTCTGCAGTCACATCTGGTATGTACAAAACTACTTAAATACAATCTATTTGATTTATGAACAATTTACATTAAACTTTATCTGATGTATTTCAAAATGGGGAATTTCGCAATCCATTTACCTATCTAATGCAATATTATGGGAATTCTCCACTGAAATCATACATGGATGTAATTTCACTAGAATGGCGCTATATACAGTGTACCAAGGTTATTCGGAGTTGGCACTAAAATTGTGCATAGTTTGTTAACTGTCTCACCCTGTATCATAATTTTATTCAGAATGGCCACATATATTATACCCTCCTTCAGAGTTCCATTTTCTTGTGTATTTTATGTAATTACTTTTGTTTTATTGTATGATCAAAATTTTTAGACTGGTCTGGACAGTATTGCTACAGAGAGTGTAAGGTCAGAGGTCAAGAATCTGATGAATGTAGATTCTTCTATTAACTTTCCAATGTTGGTCAACTCCATTGGACATCAGTTCTACCAGCAATATCCTGCTTATCATACAAATGAGGTACAGTTTAACAGTTGTAGGTTATCATTGGATATCAGTTCTACTAGCAATATCCTGCTTACCATACAAATGAGGTACAGTTTAACAGTTGTATGTTTTCATTGGATGTCAGTTCTAACAGCAATATCCTGCTTACCATACAATGAGGTACAGTTTAACAGTTGTAGGTTTTCATTGGATGTCAGTTCTACTAGCAATATCCTGCTTACCATACAAATGAGGTACAGTTTAACAGTTGTAGGTTTTCATTGGATGTCAGTTCTACCAGCAATATCCTGCTTACCATACAAATGAGGTACAGTTTAACAGTTGTAGGTTTTCATTGGATGTCAGTTCTACTAGCAATATCCTGCTTACCATACAAATGAGGTACAGTTTAACAGTTGTAGGTTTTCATTGGATGTCAGTTCTACC